TGTGCGTGCCTAGACTACAGTAAGCGGTAGGCATCGTCGGCAGCACAAATTCACTTAAACTTCATTCTCACTTCATTGACAACTTTGGAAATGCCATCCAGATGCTCCAAAGAGACATTTTGGCTAGCCGCAGACCACTGGCTATCACTGTAAAGGAGCTGATGTCACCCCAGAGAGTGGGATTCTAAGGCACTCATAGTTTTTATTATGTGTGTCACTAAAGAGGGTGGAGCGGCTTGCACTGGTGCCCAAAGCACACAGATCTTTCTTTTTAAAATTCATTTTACTTTATGTGCGTGGGTGTTTTGTCTACCTATGTCTGTGCACTACGTGTGCACCTAATGCCCACAAAGGCCAGAAGAGGGCACTGGATCCCCTAGAACTGGAGGTACAGAAGGTTGCGAGTCACCATGGGGGTGCTGAGACTAGAATGTGGGTCCTGTGCTCTCACCTGCAGAGCCCTCTCTCCGACCCCCAAACCACAGAATCTCCACCCTAACTGCAGGGTGACGACGACGGTGTCAGTGAGTGTGTAAAAGCACATGAGGAGGAAAAAGAGAGCGGCATCTCTTCCCGGGGAGGAAGACACGTCTTCTAATTGGGCAGAAGTCACAGGGAGTGGCGTGCAACAGGAAGCCCTGGGTGTGGGAATGAGTGGGATGTGGTTTATCAGGACTGCTAAGAACGGTGAGGACTTACCTGCTCACATCTCAGGAGCACTGTGTGGCTCTGCATCCTCACTGTCCTCGTCCCTTTTCTGATGCTGTGATAAATTACCGCCTGGCTTACAGTCCTGGGATAACGTAATCCATAATGATGGGGAAGCTGCAGCAGCAGGAGGCAGACTAGCCTGCTGCAGCCACGCCCAGAGCAGAGAGAACGGAGATTAATGAGATTATTGGTAATTTACACTTAAGGAGTGCTAGCACTCAGGTTTTGTTGTGCTTGGCTGGCTGGAGTTAGTTTTTAGTTTTGTGGGGTTTTATCTTAAAATCTTTATATGTAGCACAAGGCTGGCTTTGAACTCATGATTCTTCTGCCTTGGCTTCCTAATTACTGAGCTTACAGATGTGTGCTATAACAACATAAAGCATTCTTTCTCTCTCATTCTCTCTCTCTCTCTCTTTCTCTCTCTCTCTTTCTCTCTCTCTCTCTCTCTCTCTCTCTCTCTCTCTCTCTCTCTCTCTCATACACACACACACACACACACACACACACACCACCTTGAGAGAGGGAGATTTACTCACTTGCAAACCCCATTCCCGTAAGATAAAGTGTTACCAATTATAACACTTTATCTTGGAGAGCTAGGAAAACTTGCCTAAGAGTGAAAAGAGAGAGAAGCTCCAGCCTAGGAGTGTGGCCGTTCGATGGTTTCCCTCTGTGCCTAAGACGGAACTGCAAGGGAAGTGTGGTGCTTCCATGAAGGGAGAGACCTTGTCTTAGTCGTCTTTGTAGCCAGTTCCAGCACAGAACAGAATGGAAGGAGGGAGTGACGTCACGAGCGCTCTATTTTCAGAAGATAAATCTGGCTCAGTGAGTAGGATGGAGAGAAGAGGAAGGCCTGTCAGCAGGGAGAGCATGTGGATGTCATGCAGTAATGAGCAAAAATCACGAGACGATCGATGGGGAGCCACAGGAGAGAGAGACAGATACAGAGACACAGAGACACACACAGAGAGAGACAGAGAGAAAGAGAGAGACAGAGACAGAGAGACTCAGAGACACAGAGAGAAAGAGGCACAGAGGCACAGAGAGAGACAGAGACACAGAGAGAGACAGAGAGACAGACATACAGAGAGAGAAAGAGACAGAGAGACTGAGACACACAGAGAGAGAAAGAGACAGAGACAGAGAGACACAGAGAGAAAGAGACACACAGAGAGATGGAGACAGAGACAGACACAGAGACAGAGAGACAGAGAGAGAGAAAAAGACAGACACAGACACCGACAGAGAGAAGGAGATAGAAAGGGACACAGAGAGAGAAAGAGACAGAGAGAGAGGAAAAGAAAAGGAGCAAATAGAAGAGCGAGTGGGAGCTGACAGTCACGTGCAGGTGGAGAGGAGCACCAGGTCCTTTGATGAATAAATGCACACCACACAGCAAGTGTTTCCTGATCGTCAGCTCTGCCAGAAACTGTTATAAATACTCAGGGTGCTGTGATGAAGCAAGCGAGAGCTTTGCAGTCATTGAACTTGTCCACTCGTTGAAAGATGTGCTGGGGAAGGGTCTGCAGAGAAAAGGGACCCATGGGAGATACACAGAGGTCAAAGGCAGGAAGAGGAACTGGGTGGAAGCATAGAGAGAAGAGATAGAAGGAGAGATTTCAGGGGTCTGGATTGCGTGAGGGTAGAGCTAGCAGGTCTGAGGGTAGTCTGCAAGGTGGGCCCTGGGCTGCACACTTTGGGGCGGGAGTTAATGCTTCAGGGTCCAAGGCAGGATAAGTTCTCCAGGAAAACAGCTTTGCTGAGACTCTTCAAGTGCTTGGATGAGCTCCACCTAGACCAGAAGCGCCTCTACCCACATCTTCACAGAAACTCCTTGATCAGTGTTGACTGAACCACCAGGCGGGACAGCATTGCTGAGGAGTCACACGGGATGGCAGCAGCGTGTGGGAACTGCTGGCTCCGGTGGAGACTGGCTGCCGCCGGCCATGCTTGAGCAGACAGACCCCCACTTCACAGGTGGCTGAGGACGTTAAGCACTTGTCTAAGTGTTAAGAGGAGCTGACAGCTGGTCCTGCTGCCATCGGGTCTCCCACATATGTGCAGAAAACATATGTAACGGAAAAAAAGTGACGGATCTGTCACCCAGGAGTAGTCCAAGGGCCCAAAATGGCTGGCTTCTCCCAGAGCGACACAGATGGGTTAACGGGTTTAGACAAGAACCTTAAACCCTCAGTATGGATCCTGAACTTGGGGAGATCAACACTGCCTCGGAGGGACAAGGGGCAGCCTCACACACCTTGGGTATCAGATGCCTCTTCTGACAGGGGTAGCTGTGGGCATCTGCCTCCTCACCATGCTGCAGCGAGTCTGGCCAGCTGCCAGCACAGGGTGTTCCAGGAGCCATTTTGATTGGACCCCTCATTCTGCCAAGAACATTCTTCTTCTCTCCCCTTCATGTGTGGGGTGACCACCACTCAGCTCCCAGCCCTCCCATTTCCTCAGCGAGACCTTTTCCGTGCACGTAAACTCTGATCAATCTTCTAGTTGGAGCCCCACCCCAAACTCTGTGTACAAATCAGGTAATTTTCAAGAAGCATCTACTCACATTTGGCTTTATTTTAGGTATTTATTTCACCAGCCTCTGCCTTAGAAGAGGAACTGGTCACCAACACTCTCAGTACTAGTTCTAAGTGATAAACTCGATTGTTGGCATAAATCCTCATTAAAAGAACAAATGTGTGCTATCAAGCTCCCGAGCAATGTGCCTGCAGGGGGTCCAGAGCAGCAGGCTAGAAACAGAAGCCTGCAGCCCCAGTCTGCTCTTCCCAGGGTTTCGGGTTTGGAGGTGTGCATGTTCGTGTGTGTGTGTGTGTGTGTGTGTGTGTGTGTGTGTGTGTGTGTGTGTGTGTGTACTTGTGGAGGCCTAAGGTCAACCACCAGTGTTGTGCCTCAGGAGCTATCTGCCTTGTTTTTTTTTGTTGTTGTTGTTTTGTTTTGTTTTTGTTTGTTTGTTTGTTTGTTTTTTTGAGACATGATTTCTCACTGAGACCTGGGGCTTGCCGTTCTTTAGGCGAAGCTGGCTGGCCAGTGAGCCCTGGGGATCCAGCTGCCTCTGTCTCACCAGTGTGTGTACAGATGACAAACACATCTGGCTTTTTACACACACTGGGGAGTTGGGGTGGGGGAATCAACCTTGGATTGCTTGCACAGCAAAAACATCATCAACTGAGCTCTCTCAGCCCTGGTCCTATCCCAGAGACCGCTTAGTCATCCTCAGGATTTGAGTTCATCTGCATTTCACTTTACAGTTTACAGACTGGTTGCTTCCTGAACCTCTCTAGTTAGCTAGAGCACTTTTTTTTAACAGAACTGAAAAGATCCAGACAGAAATGAAATGTTCTAAATGAGCCTTCCACTGAAAACAGAAAGTTCTGGCTCGTCTTGACCCAGGTGGGAAGCCCTAACACCTTCTGCCCATGGGAGTTCTTTTGAGTGAGAAATCTTTCTGAGCCAGCTCGTGAGCCATGTTGGAAGTTCAGCTAGGATACTGTCTTCATATGCCCTTCCCCTGCCAGGCTGACCAGGTCTTATAACGGCTGGCATTGAGACTGGCAATGCAGTTGAATGTAGCGCTGTACAGACCGTTATGTCACCCGCAGTGAAACCACGGGCCCTTTCACTCCATCTTTTGACTTGACAGCCACTATCCACCAGAACAGCTTCATGTGTCCTTTGTGGTACTGTTTCCTGGAGCTGCTGTGCGCCTCTGTGGTCAGCATCCAAACACAAAGGGAAATCTTTACTTTGGAGTTGTCTTCTGATAGTGGCCAAGTAAACTTTCAGGCCGGGGGAGAAGCGGACACAAACCTTTACCAAGTCGTCCTGCAGGAGAGTTTCTCCCTCTAAGGGAGGGGAGATCTCTGTTTCTACAGTCTCCACCTTTTTTTTTTTTTTTTTTTAGTTTTTCGAGACAGGGTTTCTCTGTGTAGCTTTGCGCCTTTCCTGGAACTCACTTGATAGCCCAGGCTGGCCTCGAACTCACAGAGATCTGCCTGGCTCTGCCTCCCGAGTGCTGGGATTAAAGGTGTGCGCCACCACTGCCCGGCCAGTCTCCACCTTTTTTAAAAACCTGGGAAGAGTCGGTTGCAAACCTTATGGGATTTACAGTCCAGGCAGATTTGAGCTCAGTTAGCACAAAGATATGCTTTGCTCCAAAAGTCCTAGGTTTGCTCCTCGTCAGCTGAGGAACCTGGACAGGTCAGTGGGCTGTAACAGTCTAGGGAGTGCCTTGGTTACCACTGCTCTAAGACGTATGGTTCTCATTCCAGGCATCTTTTCCACAAGTCCTGTGTTGACCCCTGGCTTCTAGACCATCGCACCTGTCCCATGTGCAAGATGAACATTCTTAAAGCCCTAGGGATCCCGGTAAGCACAGCTCAGCCTATAGCCTCGCCCTGTCTGTCTTTTCACATGCCCCCAAAGCAGGAAGAAAGCATCTTCCCTGGGTTGTCCACATCCCCTTGCTGGCACCACCCAATGACCTCTGTGTTCAAATATTCCTTTCACCTCCGCTGTGTCTGGCCACAGCATCCACCATTTGTCTGTGAGTCAAGGAAGGTGCTGCTTGCATAGCTCACAGGCATCTCTTCAAGGGCAGGTGAGATGCAGAGGAGGTGCAATCTATCAGTTGAGCACGAATGACCTCTCTGGTTACCGCACTGCTTTGTCCTCAAGGAGATCTACATGCCACAGTTGGGGTGCCTGCCGCTTCCTGATCTGCCGACATTCAGTGGGGAGTATTCCCTCCCATCCATGGGAGGAGGGGACCAAGAATGCAGCTCAAAGTGTCTGCTAAATTCACATCTCTGGAGACTTTGAGCAAAGAGGAAGTCAGATCCACTTAAATCCAACGCTGCCATCAAGCTGCTTCAAAGTCATGTGTTTTCTGACATTTAGTGCTCTCCCTAGGGTCAGCCCCCTGCCAGCTGGCTTGACACTCCAGGGAAAGCCTTTCCCAGGATTGTATCAAGTGAACACCACAAGTGGTAGTTAATGAGACACCAGCTGCTGGGTGTCATCCTCTATGGGCCGAGGAGGACAGGAAAGGAGCCAGACCAACAAATCCAGGAAATACATGGGGAGATGTGAGGAAAAGACAGGCACTGTCTAAAAGGAGCCTCCAAAGCGAACACAGAAACGGCTCAGCCCTGCCCACCCACCCGCTCCTTGCTGCCACCTGTCTATTGCCCCTCCCCCCTGCTATGACAAAGAGTAAAGGGAATGCTAATGGTCCCAGAATGTCACTAAAGAATGAGGGCCAGATCATGTATCAAAGTGCTCTTGCATGCCAAAGAGCTTATTAGGAATATCTGAGGACTTCATTGGACAATGTGCCCAGGAGTGTTCTAAGAACCTGCTTTGGCTGGCTTGACTGCCCTGTGCCAGCTGCCTCAAGGGCGGCTGATCCACCAAACATAAATCCACTCAAGAGACTGGAGCTTTGAGCTGAACTGTAGACACAGTGTACTAAGTTTTCAGACCAGAGTTGTGCATGCCCAGTGCTTTCAAGGCTAAACCATTCACAGTGGATGTGGAACATGAGAGAAAATCCATATCTACCAGAGACTGGTGACGGCCTTTCACGTCTCTGGCTGTAACTGATTACTTTGAGGGAGAAGAAAAAATGTGTACATGTTTGCACACACAAGTGTATGTGCTTGCATGGATGCATGGATGTGTGTGTGTAACTGGATGTGTACATTGTGCATGTGTGCACTGTGTCCTTGTGGGTCTTGATCAGGTTCGTTTTCTCTGTCAATTAAAAGACCAAAAAGTAGGAAATATCTGAAGCAAAACAGGTAGCAGCAGAGAAATCTCAAGCTATGCAGACAGAATCAGCTGTTGGAGGAAGACGTTTACTGGGGATGAAGAAACAGACGCACACAGCAGATACACAGAGAAAAAGACCCTCTTCACAGCAGAGCGGGGACTCAGAAAACCAAAAATCCAGTTTACTCCCCTACTTTAGGGTTGGTCAGTTTGAAGACAGATAGGATGGTTGATTGACCCACAACTACTGCGTTAGAATGTCTGCCATCCTCAGGGCCTGCCGGTGGGAAACACGTGCCGTCAGGAAGATGCTCTGGGGAAAGGCTTTCCCCGGACTGCATCAAGTGGGAGCTGATGAGACACCATCTGCTGGGTGTCACCCTTTCTGGGCCATGAGCACAGCAAACACGCCAGGCCACCAAATCCAAGAAGTACACAGGGAGACAGGAGGAAAACGTAGGAGGAAAAGGCTGCCATCTTGGAGATTCACCCTTTAATACCAAGCCGTGGCCCTTCTCCCTGTCGGTCTACCTACAAGGGAATCTGTCTAACTCCTCGTCTCTCACTTGTATAATGCACACATGTGCTCACTTGAGTGTGTGTAGAGGAATCATTTTGTCCATGCATGAATGGGCTTGCATGTGTGTAAGTGTGTGCTGACATGTGTGCATGTATGTTCTTTCATGTGTGCATTGTGAGCTTGCATGTATGTGTTCACACATAAGTGTATTTGTGTGTTTGCATTTACGCATGTGCATCATTTCACGTACTTCCTGTGACTCAAGATAGCTTCACAGCCTTCCTGTCAGCCCTTCTCCCTTTGGTCGGGACGAGAAAGAAACCCTTGCTCTGGACTTAAATTTTGTGCTGAGTATTTGGTTCCAGATTTTCTTCCCATGGAAGTATAATTTCTTCAGAAGCTACTTATAACTGAATTCCAAATATTGATGTTAATTGTTTCTAAAATAGAAATACTGAGTGGCCTTTTGGCGTACTCCCAAACTAAATAACATTTTAACTTTTAGCAGTTGGACACTCTGGCTAAAACTCCAATGCCTGACAAGTCTGTGTGAGACTTGACTTAGCACACTCAGCTCCCAGAAAAATAAACATCGGTAGCGTCTTTGGGCTCTGCCAAGGATTTTGAAGAGCCTGCTGAAGAGCATGACACATCCACACTCACCCCGCAGAACAGAACATCCCCGTGAAGAATAAGACACATGCACTGTGTGGCTGCTTGGGAAGCATCACGGCATATGGCCACTCCTCTGCCTCCCAGGGCTCTCTTTTGTCCTGGGGAAGACAGATTCAGGGTCTTGGAGGGACTTGCGGTTTAGTTCCATCCCATCATGTTGTTATCAGGGAGCACTATGCCTAAAATGCATCAGTGCAATAATTTGTTTTATTGTTGAACTTTGCATGATTGAATCAGCACACAGCTGTGTTAATTAGGAAACATTTCTTATACAGACACGTCACAGAGGCAGTTTAAAGAAATGGTCTTAATTTTTCCCTATACTCTAAATTCAAGTTTAGTTTAATTTAGCTTACTTTACTACATATTCTATCTAGGCAACCCAGGCTAGTCTCAAACTCGTGATCCTCCGCCTCAGGCTCCCAAGGATCTCTGGAACTCCAGGTGCGCACCCCCACACTGGCCTAGGGACCTGTCATTTAAGGACCATTGGGAAGAGGCCGTTGCTGCACACTGACATGGGCTGGTCCTCACCTCCAGATCCCCGACTCCACTGAGGGATCTTGTAGAGCTGGAGCCCTTCAGTCTCGAATGCTCTCAGTCTCAACATCACACTTAGGAATTACACCCAAGTCTCCTTGCAAGGGCGTCAGCTCGAGAATGACTCCGGTGTGATTTTTGACTGATTCGATTATTCAACACAGACAGTTTGGCTGCACTGGGTTTGTTTGTATTTTTGTTATTTTTAGCTCAGTGCATATGTACCATCTGTGGTAATCAACAAGTAAACATGAGTCAAAATCTAAGAGCTGGGGACAACATTTTGTATTTTGTATTCTGCCCACAATGAGCTAGAGTGAAAGCACATGTCATGATTGATGAAATCCTCACAGCAATGCAAATTTTCCATAACATTTTGTCAAAAGAAATCTTAAAGGGAGAAGGAAGGCCCCTTTTTATTTTTCTTTATTTCTGAGACCTTCATATGTTATAAAGTGAACTACAGTGGAAGGCTTTGTTATTTCCAGAAGTTTCTATCTGTGCCCTACATTGCAGCCCCACCTACCCATCTGGGGCAGGTCTCCCTTACAGAACAGAAGTTTTCGTGAATCCTCCTCCCAGCTCTCATAGGACCCAGATGTGAGGCTGGGAAACACCTTCCACCATCATTGTTCTCCAGATGTGAACAGGATGACAATCACCATTGAACAGAAAACCCTGTGTAGCTAGAGCAGCCATGAGCTTCTAACTCTTCGCCATTGATTTATTTGGTGGCTTTCCTCATACTACCCGAATTTCAGCACCTAGACACAGTTTGTTAGCAAACAGCCTTGGATATAGTCTTAAAACAGTAAGATTTGGGCTTTTTTCAAGAGGTAGAAACATTTCTGACTATCCATGTATATTCACTATAAATTGGGAGGTTCTGGGAGGTTGATCCATTACCTGTTACATCCAAACCAAAGTTGTTGCACCTGTAGCCATTGATACCTCACCATCTCTGCCCCCACTCTTCTGTGAAGAGTAGAGCAAAGGTTCTCCTGACCCACAAAATAAGAACTTGGTTAAAGTGTACTGAACCAAAGCCGGAGCACGGAAAACGAGAACCACCAAACAGAGTCACACTTTCAAAGACTGAACTAGTCACTGTTGCACATGCATGCACTGGGCTGTTTGTTTGTGCCAGCGATTAGTGCTGTCTGTCCTTCTGGAAGCCTCTTCCACTTGACACTCTGCCCTTAAGTGTTTTGTTCAGTAAATACAAAGCGTATCTCAGTTCTGCACAGAATTTTATAGTTCTTAAAGTATTTTCTAAAACCCTCCTGTCATTGATCTTGGTAAGATTCTAATATGCCCAAGTTTTGAGAGCAGAAATCTGAGACTCAGATAAAACACTCAAATCAATATTTACTGAGCATCTAATCATTGCGGCATGACATGGAAGCCTGGGAATCGAAATCAAGATGCAGCTGCTCATTATGACTCTTGTGACCAGTGGCAAGAGAACGAGACAGTGACAATTGACCACCAACCCCAAGTGCCACATGAGGCACTACAGGATCAGAGACCACTGCTTGGGAGACAGCCCTCCTTAGAAATGGTGACATTGTTGGGAATTAAAGAGAGATTAGCAATCCCCGGGGGTCAGGTTGAAACCTTAAGAAGGGAACAGGAGGGCAGAAGGCATCTGTCATCCCAAGCAGAGGGACAGTGAGTACCAATGTGGTGCCCATTCAGTGCAAACCTGGAATTCCTTGCCTTGGCTTTGGCTGTCATGCTTTGCAGACTCTGGGAGTAGAAAACATGGAATTGTCATCCTTCATGACAGAGAAGTCAACATACAAATCAGACAGACAGACAGACAGACAGACAGACAGGGAAAACCTCATAGCAAGTCAGGCAGCCGAGACTGCACATTGGAGACCACTCCAGGAGTCTTCAATAAAACAGAGACAGAGGCCCACGTGGGAGAGAAGGGAGTAAAGGACCTATCGAACACGTGACTAATCCCGTGATAAGGGCGTAGAAATATTTTTCTACAGCTGATTTTTGGCTTATATTTTTTAAAAGTAGCCTCACCGTGTGTGTGTGTGTGTGTGTGTGTGTGTGTGTGTGTGTGTGTGTGTGTGTGTGTGTATGTATCCTCCCAGTGAGTAAGATCTTCTCCCTCTCACTTTCATATCATGTTTGTAAACAATGCAGAAGACTGATGATAATTAGCAGGCTGCTAGCTCCATCCTGTGTGGGGGAATAAACTGTATAAAAGGAAGTCCTAGTTTTATCATTATAAATAAAGATCATGTAGTCCTCTTAACTAGTTATCTAAATATAGAGATTTTGGTACACTTGAAATTAAATCTTTACACTTTTATATCTAAAAGGAACCTTTAGAAAGGAAATGGGGGAAGATGTTTTCATAACAATGAAACTACATATATATGAACCTACAGAGAAACGTTTTTAAATAAAGCAGCTTAAAAACAAAACAGTAGAACAAAGAGCTTAATTTTACATTCAGACAAAATATTTAGGCTGCAGACATTGTGTCTCTAAAACAAGAACGTGCTCTAAGACGATCCTTCTTGTTCTCCTCAGCCCAATGCCGACTGCATGGATGACTTGCCCATTGATTTTGAGGGCTCTCTAGGAGGCCCACCAACCAATCAGATCACAGGCGCCAGTGATACCACAGTAAACGAAAGCTCAGTCACTTTGGACCCTGCTGTGAGGACAGTGGGAGCCCTGCAGGTGGTCCAGGACCCAGACCCTGCACCCCAGGAAGGAGAAGCCATCTTTACAACTAACAGTAAGTGCCTGTCTTTCAAAGGACCATCACCAACAGGGTTATTGCCTCCTGGGGATTGGAGAACAAATAACACACATCACTGTGTGATGGTTGATGTTATCAACTTGATAGAATTTAGAATTACCTAGGAGACAGCCCGCAGGCAAGCCTGTGAAGGCATATCTAGATTAGGTTAGTGTCTGGGCATACCTGTGAAAGACTGTCTAGATTAAGTCCCTTGATGTGGGAAGACTCTCTTTAACTATGGGTGGCATTGCACCAGGGGCTGGGATTTTAGCAGAATAAAAAGGAAGCAGAAAGCTGAACAATAGCGTTCACGGATCTCTGCTTACTGCTGTGATGGCTTCTGACATCAGAAGGCAGGTAAGAGAAGCAAATGTCGACACAGCTTCCTACATTGTATCTGCTGTGCTGCACATACAGGGGGGCACTCGCCCCTTGAGTTTGCCGGTGTGTGGAGAAGTTGGTCTAATCGGTGTGCAGCAGCAGCTTTCCCGTTGCTGGGGCACTCGGTTGTACACGGCACATCTTTATTTCAGTTATTTGATTTGATTTGATTAAAATACACAATCCTTTTATGTTGCCTAAGCTAATTTCAGTATCTGAGATGGAATGGTACACCGACCTCCAGAGAAGCTTGGACTAGAGTGTGTGCGGTTGTTTGTGGTATGCCTTTAGATGAGCATTTTGAGATGTTTCCTGCCTGTCCCACATAGATAGTCACTAAGTCCTGCGCTGTTTGCTGGTAATTGTCATAAAAATATCTAAATGTCTGTATGAGCATTGAGCTTGAAGCTAAAATCTAAAGCACCTACTAGTTAGTCAAATATAGTAGGAGATAAAAGCCTTGGGAATTCTAAGAAAATCAGCAAAAAATTAACTGAGTTAAGTTTGAAGTTAAAAGAGTGGGTGAAAAATGGAGTTTTTAATAAAGTGTATTTCTTTCTCTTGGTAGAAGCAATATATTCACTATGGAAAAGTATAAAGGCAAATTGAATCATCTGGGTTATTTTCATTGAAGTCAACTTCTTTTTTACATATTTGTGATAGATTTTATAGAATCTATAAAAAAAAAGGCTAAGATGTAAAGACTGGTATTTTTCTGATTAACTATAATCTTAATTATTGGAAGATTGAAAGATAAAAAAAATTTTCAAAGAGACCTTAGGCAGGGTATCACAATCCAGAAATAGTCACCTGTAATAATATACTCTAGTTTCTTTTTCTTTTTCTTTTTTTACATGTATTATTTGGGGGTGGAGTGTGCTCGTGTGTCACAGGGCTCATGTGAAGGTCACAGGGGAATGTACCAGAGTTGTTCTTTCCTTTCACTGTGTGGGTTCCAGGGATCAAACTCAGCTTGTCAGGCTTGGTGGCAAGCCTTTGCCAGGTGAACCATCTCACCTGCCCACCATGCTCTACTTCCTGATAGAGTGGAGACGCTCCTGCAGATGTGAGCTGCTGAGCACTCCAGTGCTCCCACAGGACTTCCATAGACGAACATGAGAGGAATTTAGCATCATGCACCATGCTTTCATGGTGCAAAGATCTCAAATTGAAACATTGAGCCGTAGATATTTGAGATTCCCTAAAGACTGATTCGATCCTGTTGTTTTCACGGTACTGAAGTCATGGAGGCCGTGCTTGTGATGTGGTGTGAACTGTCTAGTAGCATAGCACACAAATGTAAATGGGTAATGCTCACTTGATTAATATACTTTATTTAACCAAATATACCCAAAAGATTTTATATTCTTTTTCCTATAGTTGATCTTCAGAATGTGGGATGTAGTCCACACTTCTTGTGTGTAGGGATTTAGGCTAGTTAGCCACATGAGAAGGGCTTGGTATCCTGTGTAACAAGTGGCTTACCACCTTGGAACACATAGATGGAAACTCTCAGTGCTGTAAAAGAACCTTGAAGATTGGTAGTTACTGTTTTGTTTGTCTGTTTTGTTTTGTTTTTTGAGACAGGGTTTCTCTGTGTAGCCCTGGCTGTCCTGGAACTCACACTATAGGCTACACACAGGCCTTGAACTTAGAGATCTGCCTACCACTGCCTCTCAAGTGCTGAGATTAAAGGTGTGTGCCACCACCACCTAGTATTGTCCTTGTTTGTAGTCAGAATAAACGTCTAATTTGTGCCATAAGAAAATTGCAGCCCAGAGGAGCGAATGTCTGACCTGGGTCCTCAGGAAGTTCTCTCACAGTGAGAAGTAGGCTTTGTCGTTTTCCTATTACTGACATCTGCTGCCACCTGGGATGTCTGGGCCCTAGTGGACTCATTGAGGAGCACTGAAGGTCTGGGAGAACCTTGCCAGTCCGAAAACATTCAAGCCACGGGCATTTTCTAAGCTCCTGTAAGAAGAACAGAATTCTAAGTGGGCCATTCTCCTTGCAATAGAATTCGACTGACCAAAGATAGCACATCACCTGCTGCACTCCTTGATTTGGAAATCTGTTGCACGCTTCTCACAGACCCCAATGAAGCCCAGGTGACAAACGAAAAATGTGTTTTCATTTGATGTGTTAAATAGCATCCAAAACAAGACAGATATAAATACACTGTGAGCTAAAATTCATCCACAACAAAACAGAAGATTACAGTCTGCAGCCATGCGATCCATAAACCTTGAGCTCTCCAAGTGAAATAGAATTGGAGTATGCCGGCCAAGGCATACTGTTAGGCAAAGTTAGATGTCTGTTGAACGCCGTGAGGCAAACGTGTGCAGTGTAAGCTTGAAGCAGGGACCCTCTGTTCACAACGGGAGAAAAAACGCCATGTGTTTCAGAAGCAAGCTTTGGTGAAGGAGAAGGTGAAGTCAATGAGCATGCCTGTGCTCAGAGGGTCGGCAGGCAACATGAATGTGCTTGGAGAGATTCCTTTCTTAGCAGAGCAGCTGAATGTTGCAAACAAAATATTTTTCCTAGGCCATCTACTTCTGATTTGTTCCATTTATTTGGATTTAACAGAAATGAACAGACAAAATGACTATAGGAGCCTTAAGGAGAGAATTTTCTGTAAATTTTCTAGCGTCGTCTTTAAACAAATCAGTTAGTGAACAAGCGTGAATCTGCTGCTGAGTGTGCAACGATTCCCATTCTCATCAACGTCATTTTCATCGGCAGCTCTCTGATGCTGTCTGACAGTTGGGTTCAGTGCAGGGGGCATGGGGATGGCCCCAAGTCCAGTCCCTGGCACAACAAGAATGTAGACGGGACATGGTGCTATAAATCCCAAGCAAACAGCCAAGCAGAGACCTTGGTATAAATTATCCTCTGTCCTTACATCTACACAAATCAGGGAATACAGAAAATGAAGAGCTTGTAGCAGTTTACAGATGCGTAGCAACAGACCAACCAGCCCCCTTTGAAGCCTGTTCCCTACAGTCACTCCCAACAGTCTTGTGAGGTAAATATTATTTTTATCCTCCTTTCACTGATGTGAATGCGGAGGCCCTGAGAGATGAAAGGCATTGACCAGAGGCCACACACTAGTGACAGCTGCTCCTAGAACTCAAGCCAAGCTGACGGGCCAAGGGTGCACAGGGGAGGCCCAGGGAACGCATCCTGGCTCGCTCACTTTCCATCCAGTGTAGTTAGTCACTTCTTGACATGTCCAATCTCCCAAAAGTTCCCAACTCTGCTCAGTTCCAAGTGGCACTGCTGTTCCTACCTCCCTTGCCATCTTCTGAGCAAACAGAGTTGGTGTGCTGTGGTGGGTCCGGTGGGTGGCAATCCTCTCAGCACCCGTAGCAGGAAGGTGTAAGTAGATTGCCACTGAAGATGGGGAAATCTGGCATTAAGGGATCATCTTCAGCTCCCAGAAAAGGGAGAGAAAGAAAAGACAATCATTTACAAAGTCACAAAGTGCCTGGCTTGCAGCTCTGGCCCCGGGAGAAAGGATCTTTCGTTGTCTACTCAGTGCTCCTGACCATCTCTCTGCTGCCATCCTGACCTAACAGTCCACCTTCTCCTCAACATCTAGTCCTGCAGACGGTGTTCAGACACCCCCTCAGCACTCTCTACCTACAGGCCTGGCCATGCCAAACTCTTGCCTCTGACTCCCAAGAACTGACTGCAGATGGTTGGGATTGCTTCCACTGGGGGAAAAGGTGTCTTAGGAACAAAAGACAACACAGCTAAACAATCGTTCCCAAGCCTTTGGAGCCTCCAGAGGGGAGCTAAAGAATGACGCGAGGGGAGAAGACTTACTGCACCTCCCCAAACCTCTAAGCTCCAGCTGGCATCTTCTCAGGAAATTCTGAAGCCTTCCTTCTAGTTTTCAAGCGGGCTGTTGACTGCACAATCTACCTCCTTCTTGCCTGTTGGAACACTCCAAGCCTGTGAGACAGATCTGCCTCAGAAAGGCTGCTGAAGGATCATGATCCTTTGCCCTCCTACCATGCCTCGCCACAGCCGGCCCAAGTGGAGAAGGGGAGAGATGGGTAGAATCTCAAAATCTCAGACTCCCAGAACATTCTGAGAAATGCTTGGCATGGCCAGGAGTGCTGGTTTTCAGGCTTCATAGAAGGAACCAAGACTTGTGAACAAGTGCAGAGGCCAAACTAAGGGAAAAAGTGAACTGGGTTTCCTCTGGAAATGACCTTTGTTAACTTCCTGTCAGCAAATCTGATCTATTGAATGCACATGGCCTGTAACATCTTCATGCTGCATTTTTATTTTTGTTTTACTGATGAATAAAATGCAGGGCATGAGTGTACTGCCCATCCCACTCCACCCCTACCCCGGGATGAATATTCCAGCAGCGCCAAGGTTGTCTAGTTCCTCTTAGATAACTGACAATTAAGAGTCTCAAATTTATGGGGTGGTGGGGGTACATACCTCTAATCTCAGCACTCAGGAGACAGAAGCAGGTGGATCTCTGTGAGTTCAAGACCAGTCCGGTCTACAGAGTGAATCCCAGAATAGTCAAGGCTATACAGACAAACCCTGTCTCGACAAAACAAAACAAACAAACAAAACATCTCAAACTCAAA